GTGCAGGCGCAGGACCGCAATGATGGCGGTCCTGCACAAGCAGATCGTGAGAATCGCGAATCTGCACGTGCAGATCGCAATCCTCGCGATTCTGCTCGTGCAGATCGCGAGCGCGATTCTGCTCGGGCAAATCGCGAGCGAGATCCTGCACGTGGGCCGCGACAGAATCTGGACCCTGTACGAGCGGATCGCCGGCCCGATTCGGCAAATCGACGCGCGAATCAGGGCGAGCAGCAGGATCCGCGAAATCAGGCAGCGGGGATTTTGGAAATTGCCGAAATCATTGCTCGCCTTGACCCCGCGAGTCAGCACAACCTGCGGCGAATCTTCACCGAAACAGCCGGCGACCGCGGTATAGCGAGATCCAGCGCTTCTACGGGACGCCGTGCAGCTGAGAATAACTCGGCGCGATATACCGACATAAACATTGGAGCGGCTGCGGATAATAATGATGCAATTCGCCACGCGATCGGCCTCCTCGCGGCGCTTCAACGCAGCAACAACGGAGATCCTGCAGCAGCGGCAGATCCTGTGCGCCCGGCAGCTCCAGCGGCACCTCGTTCCCGCGCTCCTCCTCCCCCTCTTGATCCCGAGGGCGTCGACGACGGCGATCACACTAATCTCGAGAACCTCGACGAAGGTAATCCCGCTCGTCCTAAGGCCCCAGCACCACTGCACACTCCTCGTAGAGTCGTGTCACAATAATGGCATGTGTCACAAACGCGGACCGCACAAATGCGATCCACACTGTATTTTACATTGGTTGGCGGGAATTGCGGGGGTGTCGCGGACGGGTTATACGAGGCCCCGTCACACCCGGGAAATCGCACGCGTGTCGAAATGTCACACTGTACCGCATGCACCTGGACTCCCGAAATCCGCAAACTTTGCGCGGGAACAGGAAACCGGCGGGAAAAGGGGGAGGTGGACCGAACCAATTGGTCGCCCCAACTGGCCATGCACATTTGTCGCCCAGAGTCGAGATACATTGGTCGTTTGTGACATAACATTCGGCAAATTTACAGGCGCGACTCGGGAAAAAGGGGATTGAGACACAATTGTCTCCACAGGAACGTTCCCTAAGAACTGAAGCGCCACGATATTCCCAGGGATTTTCGCTGTGGCATTTTGGATATTTCTAGCTCTAGATCTTTCCGCTCTTGGTAAGCCCGGTATAGCATCTAATCTTGCCATATCTTGCCATTTCTAGCAGCCCTGATACAACTGAGACGTTACAATTGATAACTACGACATCGTACAGCATCTAATCCTGCATTTCAAACCCAGCGCTGAACACCTCCACCTCCCTCAGAGCCTGCAACTCCTCGTTCTGCTCCAGGTCACCCTGTTACAGTGTATGCATTACACCTTAATGGGCAAGGGGGAGAAGGAATGAGCTGGCGGGGGGGAGTGGGGGGGTGGGTGGATGGTGACAGTTGAGTGAGGGGGGGAGGAGTACTGGTCCCACTTGTCGTGTGTCCTTGGATCGTCCTAGCATGCCTGAGATTGTGCATCTGCTGGAGAATCTGGAAAACTTTGCCACGGGCATGGAGACCACTGCCAAGGGGGAGAAAGGAATGAGTGGTGGGGAAGGGGAGGGGTGAGTAAGGAGCAGGTGGGGTGCAGGGGTAGGATGGTTGGCTTGGCTTGCGGCTGTGCCAGCAATTCGGGGATGAAGGAATGTGAGCAAAGGTGTGGTGGGTGGTGAAGCTGGGTGGTGTGGAGAAATGTACGGATCTTTTTGGAGATGGATGGGGTTGGATTGGGTGGGTGGTGGGCTGCTGGGGATGAGTGGGCACTGGGTATGCATCCTGTTGCTTTGTTTTCTTGCAGGATCTACTGTGGATTTGTGTGCTGCTGATCCTTGCTGTTACTCTTTGTTTACCAGGGTCTTCGCCCTGTACAGAACAGCCGTTGTATTTATTGCTAGTTGTGTAGTTTTTTGTAGAGACCGTCCACTGCTCCATGCGTTGGAGATACTGTTGTAGGCTTTTTGCAAGATGATGCTCCCTGGAATGCAGTTTTATAGACATTTGTCATGTGCCGAATTATTGAATTGGATTATACTACCGTAAGCCCCCGGATAGAAGCGCAGGCCTCGGATAAGCGCCGGCGCTTATAAAAGGATGAGGGCGCTTATATCCGCTCCTCGATTATAAGCGCACCCTTGGAGCCTTACGGATTATAAGCGCACCCCTAATGAAGTACACATTATAAGCGCCACCTTTTTAGAAGTTGCAATTATAATTTTAAGTAATTCTAATTGCTACCCTTATGCTATTCTACAATTTCTCAAGATATGCTACCAAGTTTCGCATTTTCTGCATATTCTACCACATTTTAAAATCATGCTAAATATCTACTCTACCTACACAACCTAGACATCCTCCTCAGCAGTGGCGGTGCCTTCCTGGGTGGTCTCGCCATCCGACTCTGGCTCGTCTACGTTGTTGCAGCAGAATCCATCTGCTGCAATCTCGTCGTCAAGTTCCACTTCGCCCTTGACGGCGTCCCGCCGGTGCTGCAGGCAGAGACTGTCCTGAGACCCGTCCAACTCGTTACTGATGCCGCAGGTGAGAAACGAGCGCTCGATCAACTCCTTGGGCACCGACTTCCAGGCCTTGGAGATCCACTTGAGCGTCAGCTCTGGTGGTGGCTTGCGGATGTTGCCTGCCACACGTAGAAAGATCCATCAGTTAGAACAGGGTCAATATTTAAAAAACACTCAGGCCTAGAAATTAAATCTCACCTCTTTCAGTCAGGCAGTCAACGCCCTCGCTTTCGAACCATGCCTGGTACTGCTGTCGCACAGCTGCTTTGAAGGAGCGGTTCACCGCGACGTCTAGGGGCTGCACCTCCGATGTGCAGCCAGCTGGTATGATGGCCGGCACGATACGCAGCTCGCCGAATTTCGCCCTCACTTGATCAGTCAGGTGCCCGCGGTAGGAGTCAAGCACCAGCATCGCCCTCCTGCTGCGCACTCCGAACCTCGGGTTGACGTACGGGCCCACTGTAGCGTCGAGCCACGCGAGGACGCCGTCCGCGTCCATCCACCCGTTGGGATGTGCGGCGACCACGACATCTGCACATCCGCACGATAAAAATCCTCAATTATAAGCGCACCCCCTAAAAAACAGTGTTTTATTACAACCCCAGGGGCGCTTCTATCCGGGGGCTGACGGTAACATATAATTGGATAATCCATGATCCCGACGCTCTGTCGTTCGCGTATGGGGGTCCACCGCCCCCGAAAATATTCAGCAGGACTCGTACAGGAACTCCTTCGTAACTCTCGTTACTCGCGTCTTCATTACTCCTCATTTTGTCTCCCTCTCCCCCGCTGCTCTGCGGAATGCGGCGACATGGTGCTGTAGCGGGGGATCAGTCTTGCTCACATTCGGTTTTGGACGTGATGGGAAGTAGTTATGTATGATATATTCAGGTTTACAGTACGGTTGTAGATGAATGTCCATGTTCGGCCAGCAATTCTTGAACTTGCCGAAAAACTTGTACCTTCCAAGTTGCTCTTTCTGCTTACACCGCTCCAACCTTGTCAGTTTCATCCCCGTAGCAATTGGAGATGGCTGCTTCTTGCTCAGCTGCTTATGCACGCAGAATGCAGTGCGACTTGGGATGACGACATCCAGCGTAGCGCGGTGCGGTGTAATGCTTATGTTAATTTCGAGCGTGGAGTGGTATTTGCGTGAGATAAGGAACATTCAGCAGCGTCAGCCCTACGGTTGATAACTCGTTCGGCATTCATCCCGACGCTTATTACAATTCTTTTTTGGAAGATTACTTTGATGCGATAGGAGAAAGCAATTACGTGTCACACACGCAAGACGTGTCTTCGTAACTAATTTGGACGCGCCTCAGAACAACGGCTGACCAAATAAGGAAGTAGCGCCTGCGGCAACTGCGGAACATGCTTTTCGAGATGCGTTATAAGATGATCCAATGGAAGGTGCAATCGAAGATGAACTGCGTAGTGAACTTCAAGACGAACTCGAAAGGACGTGGGAAGGTTCACTATAGGATGCACGACTGGATGTCGTTCTTCATCCTCGTTATAAGCGCTTCCGCAGGTAAGTCTGCGCACTCACCTATCTTCTGATTATTTTTATAAGCTCTTCCTTTGGTAATTCTGCTCACTCATCTCGTACCTGTTCAGTCTCGACCTTTCCCAGGCTCGCCTCCCTCATTACCTCCTTCCCTCCTCGCCTTCCCTCCTCGCCTTCCCTCCTCGCCTTCCCTCCTCGCTTTCCCTCCTCGCCTTCCCTCCTCGCCTTCCCTCCTCGCCTTCCCTCCTCGCTTTCCCTCCTCGCTTTCCCTCCTCGCCTTCCCTCCTCGCCTTCCCTCCTCGCCTTCCCTCCTCGCCTTCCCTCCTCGCTTTCCCTCCTCGCCTTCCCTCCTCGCCTTCCCTCCTCGCTTTCCCTCCTCGCCTTCCCTCCTCGCCTTCCCTCCTCGCCTTCCCTCCTCGCCTTCCCTCCTCGCCTTCCCTCCTCGCCTTCCCTCCTCGCTTTCCCTCCTCGCCTTCCCTCCTCGCCTTCCCTCCTCGCCTTCCCTCCTCGCCTTCCCTCCTCGCCTTCCCCTCTTACCTTCCCCCGCTTCCATTGTATCCCCCCCTTTCCCTGTCCACCCCTCCCTTCCCTACCTTTAGTTCCCTCAACGAGTCAGTAACAGCTCCCAAATTTTCCTCCTCTCCCGTCCATGTGACGTCAGCACCACCACTTGGGCCGCATTAGCTCTTTGCATCCCACCAAAATCCCTCCTCACATTCTGCCCTCTCTCTCATCCCCTCCTCCCCCCTCAGCCCCCTCTGCCGAGCAGAAGAGAGGAAGCTGTACCTGGTGCCTAGACCTCAGCAGCACCACTGGTGGTTGTGAACCGCATCATCATCCCTTCGCTTCTCTTCTCGGACCCCCTTTCCCCTCCATGCAGTTCAAGGCTCTTCCACAGAAGAGAGGAAGCTCTACCTCAGCACCTCCCGGTGGAAGCACATGACCTCAGCACCACCAGTAGTGGCTGTGAACCGCATCATCATCATTCTCCGACCCCCTTCCCTGCCATGCAGTGCAGTGCATGGCGTTTCAATAGAGCAGAGAAAGCTATACCTGGTGCACATGACACCAGCACAGCACCACCACGCCTCCAGTAGTGGCTGTGAAGTGCACATCCCCTCTGTTCTCCGACCCCCCTCCTCGCCATGCAGTGCAAGGCGTATCAACAGAGCAGAGAAAGCTGTACCTGGTGCACATGACCTCCGCACCACCAGTGGTGGCCTACACTGGGGGAATCCCAGGACTCAAACCCACAGCCGCTGGTTCTGCTGCCGCTTCTTCTGCTGCCCGTGGTGGGGTTGGTGTTGGTGGTTCTGCAGCTGCTGTTAAACATTCCGTTGACTCAAAAGCCGCACCCAAGGCTGCAGCACACGCTTCTGAACGCGCTGCAGGCAGCAGACTCGATATAAGCACACCCAGAGCAAGCAGCGCGAGTACGGTGTACCTGGGAGCGGCAGGCGCAGGCAGCAGCAGCAGTTACTGGAGCAGCGGGCGTGGAAGCGGAGAGAGAAAATCCTTTCGACCATTAGCTGATTCGCCCCGGGTTAAAGCTTACCAGGATCATCTGCTCAGCACTCACAGGTCTGTCCTAGCCTCGGTGGGAGCCTCGGAATCGAGCCTACTGTACAGCTACGGAGTCACTGCGAATGCTGTCTGTGCGTCTTTGACAGCGCAGCAGGCGGAGGAGTTGAGAAAGAGGCCAGGGGTGGGGCAGGTGGCGAGGGCGAAGGCGAGGGTGCGTGCTTTCACGACGTACACGCCCAAGTATATGAAGCTGGGGAAGACGTGGAGCAGTGTAGGGGGGCAGGGGCGAGCAGGGGAGGGCGTGATTATTGGAGTGCTGGACTCGGGGATCTGGCCGGAACACCCTTCCTTTTCCGACAAGGTGAGACACGTGGTCGGATTGGGTGGGTGTGTCTCTGAGTGGGTGTTGGTGTGTGTGTGGGCGAGCAGGGGCGAGAAGGAGAGGACGTGATTGTTGGAGTGCTAGACTCGGGGATTTGGCCGGAACACCCTTCGTTTGTGTGTGTGTGTGTGTGTGTGTGTGTGTGTGTGTGTGTGTGTGTGTGTGGAACACTCGGGACAAGGTGAGACACGTGTGTGTGTGGGTCCTTGACAGAGCAGCGGCGGAAGGGGGAGCATGCGGTGCTGACCCACTGCAACCGCAGGCTTCTTTGAGGCGCCTAAATCCGTTAGTCCTTCCTTCCCGCCCACAACTGCCAGAGCTGTGCGCCGGTCGATTTTTTAGAATTGTCCAAATCGTCCCAAACAGGTGGAAGGGGTTGAGCCGTCCAAATCGTCCCCAAGGTGCAACACCACCTTTCCCTACTCTCAATTTCGAGGTGACTTTTGAGTGACTTTAGAATTGTCCACTTGAGCAAGTGCATCAACATCTGGTCCCTACTCTCAAGTTGGTTCTTGAGAATTCTCAAAAACCAACTCGAAGGGGCTGAGCAAGTGCATCAACATCTGGTCCCTACTCTCAATTTCTGAGTCGTCAGAAAAGCAAGCGCCGGACCCAGCTCCCACTATCCACTTGTAAAAAGTAGATCTTTGAGACGTCTCAAAAATCAACTTCATTTTTCAGACCCAGCTCTCACTATCCACTCCTTTCCCACCTCACCTTCTCCCCTATTTTCAACCGCCTCGTCCCTGTCACCACCCACAGGGCTACGGGCCAGTGCCCAAGAGGTGGAGGGGGGCATGCACGGGGCTGAGCAGGTGCAACTACAAGGTGGTGGAGGCACACTACAACCCTCCTCCCCTCCTCGCTCCCTTCTTCCCATCACTGGTAGGGCTAGGGGCGCCCAAGAGGTGGAAGGGGGCGTGCACGGGGCTGAGCAGGTGCAATCACAAGCTGGCCTAAAACATCCCCTCCCGCCTCTCTGCTCGCCATCCGCAGGGCTATGGGGCCCCACGCAAGCGATGGAAGGGGGCGTACATGGGGCAGAGCAAGTGCAACCGCAAGCTGATGGGCGCACACTTGGTTCCTCCTCCCCTCTTTCCCGCCCCTCCTTCGTCCTCCCTCCCACCAACCACAGGGCTACGGGCCAGTGCCTAAGAGGTGGCGGGTGGCGTGCACAGGGCTGAGCAAGTGCAACCGCATCCTCTCTCCCTCTCTTCCCTCCTCCCCACTTCCGTCTCCCTCCCTCGTCCCTCCTGACTTCCCTCCTCCCACTTCTTCCTCCTCTCCTCTCACCACCCACAGGGCTATGGACCAGTGCCCAAGAGGTGGAAGGGCGCATGCACGGGGCTGAGCAGGTGCAACCGCAAGCTGATCGGCGCGCTGTACTTCAATGCCTCCTTTCCTCTCTCCCCTTTTCCCCTCTCACCACCCACAGGGCTACGGGCCAGTGCCCAAGAGGTGGAAGGGCGCATGCACGGGGCTGAGCAGGTGCAACCGCAAGCTGATAGGAGCGCGGTACTTCCTCAAGGGGTACGAGGCGGAGTATGGCAAGCTGGCTCGGGGGGAGTTCCGCTCTGCTCGGGACGCTGGCGGTCATGGCACGTGGTGTGCGGGGTGAGTTATTTAGGGGGGAAGAGAGAAAAAGAAGAGGGTAAATGCTGATCGGCGCACGCGCGGTACTTCCTCAAGGGGTACGAGGTGGAGTATGGCAGGCTGGCTGGCTCGCGGGGAGTTCCGCTCTGCATGAAATGCTGGCGGGCACGGCACGTGGTGTGCGGGGTGAGTGGGTAGTGGGGATGGGGAAGACGGGTGGCACTTGTTCCTCAAGGGGTACGAGGCGGAATATGGGAAGCTGGCTCGGGGGGAGTACCGCTCTTTCCAAGATGCTGGCAGGCACGGCACGCGGTGTGCAGGGTACGTGGTATGGGGGGGTTGGGGGAGTCTTGGTGTGGGCGGTGAGTTAGGAGGAAGACGAGGGGGTTGGGAGCAAATGGTTGCTACTTTCTCAAGGGCTACAATGCGGAGTATGGGTGTGATAAGTCGATTTTTGAGTCGACTCAAAAAACCACGTGTGATAAGTCATTATTGAGTCGACAAAAAAAAACAACTTATCACACAGGGGTTGGGGGCAAATGGTTGCTACTTTCTCAAGGGCTACAATGCGGAGTATGGGGCCTTCGCTCCAGATAAATATTGCTCTGCTCACCCATACACACGCTTCCCTTCCACCTTCCCTCCCCCAACCCCTTCCCCTCCCCTTGTCCCTTGGGCTCCCTTCCTCAAACTTCCAGTTGCATAGGGCGGCAGCAGGTAACACAGGAGTATGACTCTTCCTGAGTCGGCTTAAAAAGTGTTCTCTTTCAATCGCACTGGTGACTTTGGAATACACACCACTCTCCCCCTTCTTTCTACCCCACTCCTCTCCCCTTCCCTTTCCAATCACACACAGAGCGGCAGCAGGCATTATAGGAGTGGTTCTCCCCACTTTCTCCCTCCCCCTTCCGACGACTTTGGACTACCCACACCTCCCCCCACCGCCCTTCCCCATTTTCCCCTCCCGTACCCCCGCCTCCCCCTCTTCCCCTTTTTAATCACACAGAGAGCGGCAGTAGGCAATGCAGGAGTGGTGCTTTTGAGTCGACTCAAAAGCAGCAGGCAATGCAGGAGTGGTGCTTTTGAGTCGACTCAAAAGCAGCAGGCAATGCAGGAGTGGTGCTTTTGAGTCGACTCAAAAGCAGCAGGCAATGCAGGAGTGGTGCTTTTGAGTCGACTCAAAAGCAGCAGGCAATGCAGGAGTGGTTCTCTCTGACGGGTTTGGATCAACCGCACTCGAACCTTGCCTCTTCCCTCCCCCGCCCTCCCCTCTCCCTCCCGTTCCTCCCCTTACCCGTTGAATTCGCACAGGGCTGCAGCAGGCAACGCCGGGGTGGTACTGACGGACGAGTTTGGATCGACCGCAGGGCCGGCCAGTGGCATGGCGCCACGTGGCAGGCTGGCAGTGTACAAGGCGATCTGGTTCAACGCGTCAGAGGGGTACGGCCACGACTGCGACATCTTTGCAGCCGTTGATCAGGCCGTCGCGGACGGTGTGGATGTGCTCTCCATGAGCATCGGATCGGGCGAGGATACCTACTTTGGCGACCTGCCACTACTGCGCGCTGTGCAGGTGAGCAAGAGGGTGTCTGAGGCTGCGGGAGGGAGTGGGAGAGGGTGAGGGTGAGAGGGTGAGAGGGTGAGAGGGTGTGAGGGTGAGAGGGTGAGAGGGTGAGAGGGTGAGAGGGTGAGAGGGTGTGAGGGTGAGAGGGTGAGAGGGTGAGAGGGTGTGAGGGTGAGAGGGTGAGAGGGTGTGAGAAGGTATGGGTCTGCGCTCCATGTTGAAGGCGGTGCAGGTGAGTGAGAGGGTGTGCCACTGCTGAGGGGCTGTGCAGGTAGAGGGTTTGAGGGGGGTGAAGTGGCCAGATGAGCGCATAAGTGGGCATAAGTGAATAAAGAGTGGCTTACTTTTTTTAGAATTCTCAAAAACCGGCCAGATGAGCGGATAAGTGGGTGTACAGAGTTTTGAGACGTCTCAAAACACTTCTTCAACCAGATGAGTGGATAAGTGGGGTGTGAAGAGTGGCTTACCGTTCTCAGTCACAACACCCACAACTCTCCCAACAGTCACTCACAACACTCACTCACTCACTCACACCCTTGCTGTGCGCAGGGGAGTGTTGCGGGGGTGTTCCTGGCCATAACAGCAGGCAACAATGAGGGAATGCCACGAGAGGGGACTGCTGGGTGCCATTTCTTTCTTATGCCTCTCTGCTGCCCCTCCCATGCTGCCCCTCCCATGCCACCCCTCCCGTGATGCCCCTCCCTTTCTGCCCCTCCCTTGCTGCCCCTCCCTTGCTGCATGCATGCGGGGGTTTTCCTGGCCATGGCAGCGGGCAACCAGGGACCGCCCCCCATGGCGGAGTGATAACTCTCAGAATGATTGCTCTTACGCCCTCTTGTCGTGCCTCCCGTGCTCCAGGCGGGTGTGTTTCTGGCCATGGCAGCGGGCAACGAGGGACCACCCCCCATGGCAGTGAAGCCATATGGCTTCCGCACCCTCAGCAACGCTGCTCCCTTTTACCTCACTGTTGCCGCCAGGTGCGTGGCTCATTCTGTCAGGTGCGTTGCTCATTCTGTCAGGTGCGTTGCTCATTCTGTCAGGTGCGTTGCTCATTCTGTCAGGTGCGTTGCTCATTCTGTCAGCTGGGCGGCTCATTCTGTCAGGTGGGTGGCTCATTCTGTCAGGTCGGTAGCTCCCCAATTTTCCCCTGCACTCTCTCGCTCACCCACTATCCCTCTCACCCACTATCCCTCTCACCCACTATCCCTCTCACCCACTATCCCTCTCACTCTCGCTTCCCCTCCCCCTCATCCCTCCCCTCAGCTCCACAGATAACAACTGGGGTTTCTTTGGTCGCTCTGCACAGTCAGCACAGTCAACGCAAGTCAACGTGGGGACTTTTGAGTCGAATAAAAAAGTCCTTCCCCCCCCTCATTACTTCCCCGCAGCTCAACAGATAACGACTGGGGTTTCTTTGGCCGCTCTGCACAGTCAGCAGAGTCAACGCAAGTCAACGGCACCTCGCTGCCTGCTTCTGCAGCTGCCGTCCAGGTGAGAGATCCCGAGAGGCTCGCAGTTTTGAGACGTCTCCAAAGTCAACGCAAGTCAACAGCTCCTCGCTGCTTGCTGCTGCAGCTGCTGCCCAGGTGAGAGGCTCTCAGCGTCGAGTTGTCCAATAGTCAATGCAAGTCAACAGCACCTTCGCCTGCTGCTGCAGCTGCCGCCCAGGTGGTAAGAGGTTTGCCGGGATCATATTGATTTTCTGAAGGTGCCAGGGAATATTTCTATTCCTAGATAGCCAGGTGAATCTTGTGTCGGGGAATATTTCTAGTGAGCGATAGCTGGGTGCATCTCCCTCTTCTCTTCCACCGGGCTTCATAAGCCAACCCTCACCCCCCTCCCCTCCTTCCATGCTCCCCCTTTTTCCCCGCCCTCCACCCTCCACGCCCCTCCCCCTCCCCACCGCCCAGCCAAGGCAGCTCTCAGACCCCATTATGGCCCCCTTCTCTGCCGGGCCTACTTTTTCAAGGGCCTGACAATTTTTTCCCTCCCCTTCCCCTCCTTCCTCGTTTCCCTCCTTCCCTCCACCACCACAACGACCCCCCACCCCCCTCCTTACCACCCAGCCAAGGCAGCTCTCAGACCCCATGATGGCCCCCTTCTCCTCCGCGGGGCGTTTCTGTTGAGGCGCCTAAAAGCTCCCCCCATTCCCCCCATTCCCCCATTCCCCCATTCCCCCATTCCCCCATTCCCCCATTCCCCCATTCCCTTTCCCCCCTCCCCCCACACACCCCCATCCCAGCCAAGGCAGCTCTCAGACCCCATGATGGCCCCCTTCTCCTCCGCGGGGCCTCCCTTAAACCCTAACAAGCCTCCCTCCTCCTCGCCCACTCTCACCAACGACCTCTTAAAGCCCGACATCACCGCCCCTGGTATCACCCGCCTTGCTGCTGCTCCCGGGGGCATTAATGGGCAAGCTTGGTTCTCCAGCAAAAGCGGCACGTCAATGTCTACACCTCAATTGGCCGGAATTGCGGCGCTTATAATCCAAAAATATCCCAACTGGAGTCCTGCCGCGGTTAAATCCGCAATAATGACGACGGCTACAGTAATGACCAAGCAGGGCGGGTTCATTGAGGATTCGTCCGGAGCGAAAGGGACACCCTGGAATTACGGGTCCGGGCATGTAAATGCCCCGAAAATTCTGAACCCAGGGCTGGTATACGACGTTGGGTTTGCGGGCTACGTGAATTTTCTGGCCGGTCTGAATATGCTGAAAGCTCGACAGGTGCTAGGAAGAACCGCTTCGCTTTCGCCAATCAAGGCGTGGGATTTGAACCAGCCGAATATTTGCGTGTCGCGGCTGTCTACAGTGGTAACCGTAACCAGGAGGGTTACAAGTGTGGCTGGGCATGCCCGGACCTACAAGCTTCGGCTCGGATCCATGCCGAACGTAGCTGTAGAAGTCTCGCCGAAGCAGTTCACGATTTTGCCCGGGCAGAGCATAACTTTTTCGGTGAAGCTGACCCCAAAAAGGGGCACTGGAAAGTTTTCGTTTGGGAGCTTAGCATGGATGGATGGGGTGCATTGGGTGAGAACTTCAATAGCTGCCCAGCCTATGGTGGCACTATAATGAAGATGACTCAGTGTGATAAAGCGATGGCATGATGTGTTGTGTATGTATGGTACCGAACTCAACTCAACCCACCCTGTGCCTCCACACTGCCTGGCATTTACACAAAGTAGATAGTAGCATAACCAAGGTAATAACCAGTTTACAAGCCCAGACTGAATCTCCAATCCATGTTAGATGGTTTCGTGGTAGTACCAGTTTGACAAGTGCAATGCAATTACAGCAGAGTTACCGTACAACCCAGAAACTCTGTAAGGTATAAAGAATGCCAGCCTGCTTCAAGCACACATATTGTACGAAGAGCAGTTGTTGTGGCATTGTCATATGGTCAGTTAACCAATAAAGTTAATAACCACCAGGTACAGCACAAGGCTACAGAGCACATAGTCGGCAAAGGCACGCTCGTTTGGCAGATCCTGTTACAGGCAGAACCGACAGTTGAACGGAAGGGTGGAGGGGTGGTGGGTGGAGGGGTGGGAGAAGGGGGGGTGGTGGGGAAGAAGGCCTAAGAAACGAAGGTGCAAATTTAATATTTTTTCAAAGTGCGTAAACAAAGGCAAGGGGGATTTGAATTGGGAAGGAGTGGTTGGCAGAAGAGGACAAGGGGAGACGAGGGCTTGGGTTCAGGGGTGGTGGAGGGCAGGGAGGAGGGCAGAGAGGAGGGCAAGGGAGGAGGAAGGAGCGAACCTGGAAGTCCTTGTTCTCCTTGTTTGCTTGCATTCTCAAACACACTGTGGCGTGGGAGAGAGGGGGAGAGGGAGAAAGAGGGAGAGAAAGAGTGGGCGAGAGGTGAGAGGGAGGGTGATGACTCTTGTGAGACCTGGAAGTCCTTGTTCTCCTTGTTTGCTTGAATTCTCAAACACACTGTGGGGGAGGGGGAGAGCAAGGGAGAGAGGAGGGAGAGCACAGAGGGGGAGAGTGAGCATGTTTAGAAATCAAGGCAACGAGCGAACCTGGAAGTCCTTCTTCTCCTTGTTTGCTTGCATTCTCCAACACACTGGGTGGGGGGGGGGAGGGGGGGGAGAAGGGGAAAGGGGGAGTGAGAAAGGGGGAAAGGGCGGGGAAGGAGGAAAGGCATGTTCAGATGCACGGAACGAGAGTGGGTGAAGGGAAAAAGTAGCCCTGAGGGACGAGAATGCACTGAAAGGGGAGGAGTGGCGCGTTGTGAAAAGGAAAATTTGATTGAGGAAGGGAAAAGCGTGAAGGGGAGCGAGTAAGAGGTAGGACGAAAGAAGCCCATATCCAGACATACCTGCAAGCACGGCGGTCCCGATACAGGAGAGTAGACCCGCGAGGAACGCGTTAAAGGGGAACGATCCCACCAGCGCCATGTATGCGAACTGCGCGATTCGCGCGTGGGGAAACGGGGGAAGGGGGAGAAAGGGGGGAACGGGGGGAAGGGGGAAGGAAGCTTTTGAGTGACTACAGGCGTTGAAGGAGAACGATCCCACCAGCGCCATGCATGCGAACTGCGCGATTGGCGCGCGTAGGAAAAGGGGAGGCTTGGGGAAAAGGGGATGTGTCGGAAACGGGGAAGGTGTGGGGAAGGGTGTGGGTGTGGTGAGGGGGAAGGGGGTGCGTGTGGTGAGGGGAAGGGGGTGGGTGTGGTGAGGGGGAAGGGGGGGTAAGGAACGGGAGGAGTATGGCGTAACTATAGAGTTGACCACAGGCCTTGACGGGGAATGACCACACCAGAGACATGGACACAAAGCGTGATAGATGGGCGGAGGAGGGAGGGGAAGAAAGGAGTTGAGCGAGTGGGAGATGAGGGCGTGTGAGGGAACATGCGGAATTAAGGGCGGGGGTAAACAAGGTGTAATGAGTGAGTTTCGAGTCCATTAATGCCAATTATGCTAACTGGGAGTGGTGGGTAAAGGGACGACACGTGGACACGGGCGTGGACGGCACGTGGAGCATACCTGAATCCCAGCCGTCAGGAGTGCGTAGACCACGAGCAGATCGAGGGCCTGCATGGTTTTTCGGACATTTGAAAAAAAACAAACAAACAAACAAACAAAAGAAAAAAAATCGCGATTCGTTAGTATCATTCTCAAGACGAAACAAGGTAACGACGGGGTTGGCGACAGGAAAATAAAAAGTAGAAAAAGCAATATAGAAGATGCTCTGACAGGCATCCGCGACCGATCTTCATTGCACCTAGTGGAACCGCCATGGATGACTCGTGCATCCACGCGACATCTACGAGATAGCTCAATTTAATTTCTTTCATGCTCGCAATCATGCCTTGAAGCGCGATCCGCCACTAGTGCCACAGCCTCCTAACATCAGAATTCTAGCGTCACGCAATTCCTCGGACCTTGAGTTTGACGGGTGTTTTGCTGTATTCGTTATAGAATGTGGACGTCACAGATCTGAAATCCTCCACGATCCCCATGGCCGCCGCGATTTACTCCCTCGCGCCGATCTAGCTTGAATGGCCGAACGAAGCGCAAGAATCCGAGAAATCAACGGAACAACGAAATCTCCCACCGCGTCTCTACAAGCGAAGACTATCCCAGACCTGCGTTGGACAACCCGCGGTTAGTTTCCGTGGTCGGCGGGGGACGGAGAAAAAAAAGATCCGTCCCGTGTCCAGAAGCGGATCAGTCCTTGGCGGAACAGCAAGAATCCGAGATTTGGTAGATTGGCGACAATCTCGAGGTTCTTGAAAATGGAAGTCAAAAATCGTGGGATGGGTCAACCATTCCCATCCGAGGCAAATGAAACATTCTGCTACCAAGGGCGTATTCCCCGAGGCGGATGAGAGGGACGGTTCAGTTGAGCCAGACGCAAGTCAGTTCAGGTCAACCCAAACCGACACCAAGAATTTGAAAGCGTAGGTCTCAAATGAAAATATCGCTCCCGGGTGGGCTTGAACCACCGACCTTATGGTTAACAGCCATACGCTCTAACCAACTGAGCTACGAGAGCTGTGAGAATGATGTTCTATAACAATCAATAACGTATTATATATTGTACAAGATATTGTAGCAGCTTATATTACTACTGTTGGCTGCTGTTATGGCTCATTGTGTTCCAAGAACGCGTGAAGCGGCGTCTCGCCTTGTCGCTCTCCACCCCTTCCTCGCCCAGCCCGCCATCGCCGCATCCGCGCCCGCCTCCGCGCTCCGTACGCCCTCCATCCCGCCTATCCCTGTCCACCCGCTCTTCGCTCCCGCCGCTGCATCTTCCCCCTGTCCCCCGCGCCAGTCATGGCTGCTCTCAACCGTTTCCGCTCTCCGCCCCGCTCCCTCCATCCCCTCTCCAACCGCGTCTTCCGCTCTGTCTTTTCTCTCCGCCCCATGCGCCGCTTCCGCTTCTTCCGCCTTCCACCTCGTAGCTCGCTCCCCCTCCCGTGACTTTACACCTCCTCGTCCGCTCCCTTACCGCGACTCCGCTCCGCTTCTTTATCCCCCGTACCGACACGCCTGTCCACATGTCGCCTGCGAATTCAGCAGCAGCGCGGGAAGCAACGGCGGGAGAAGCGGCGCGGCGGCGGAGGCTGGAGATGGCGCGGGGGAGACAACCCCCAGGGGAGATGGCGCGGGGGACACACCCCCCGGGGGAAGTATTTTCCAGAATATCCGGGTGGAGCTTGTGGCGGACGGGCAGGTTGGGTTAATTACCCTGGCACGGCCGAAAGCGCTGAACGCGCTGTCGCAGGCGGTTATGGGGGAGGTGGTATCTGCGCTGAAATGGATGGACCAGAAAGACTCGGTGAGTCTGCGGGGAATTTTGAGTCGATTCAACAGGTTATGGGGGAGGTGGTATCTGCGCGGAAGTGGATGGAGCATAAGGACTTGCATGTGCGTGGGGAGGGCTTATCTGGCACGTGCATGACACGTGCACGGTCGTGCACTCAACGCACGCACTTCCCTTGTTTCTGCCTGTGCTGTACGCGTTATAAATACCCTGCATGTGCTGTACGCGTTATAATCACCCTGCCGCAGGTAGGAGCGACGGTGATAACGGGCGAGGGGCGCGCGTTTGCAGCGGGGGCGGACATAGCGGAGATGGCGCCCCTCTCCTTTGCTGATGCTCTCAAGGGGGACCTGCTTTGGCAGTGGGACGAGATGAGACGGCTGAAGAAACCGGTCATTGCTGCTGTCAACGGGTGAGTGAGTGAATGGGAGGGTGGGTGGATGTGATGTGAAGGTCCTCACAGCAGCAGCTGGGGCGGAGATGCGCCGTGAATGGGTGGGTGAGCTGACAGGCGAACGCGCCGCGCAGGTAAGTACGTGAATGGGTGGCTTAGAGAATTCTCAAAAACACCCGGCAAGCGCCCCAGGTACGTGTGTGAGTGGGTGGCTGGTGGGCCAAGAGCAACCTGCTAGGCGGATGGGTTTTTGAGGCGCCTCAAAAGTCCATGAGTCGTCTGAAGGAGCCAAGAGTCGTTGCTGCTGTCAAGTCATGAGTCAGCAGCAGCAACTTGCTGCTGTCAAGTTCAACGGCCAGTGGGTGCTTCTGCATATCTTTCTCACTTCGAATAGTCATTCGATTCTTTCGTCCCTACTCCCCTCATTCTTTTCACCTTCCTCCAATTCCCACTCGCCTTCTGTTCCCAGCTACGCACTAGGCGGCGGGTGCGAGCTTGCAATGATGTGTGAGACATCATCCTCCTAGCCGGTGAAAAGGCCGTATTGGGGCAGCTCGAGGTGAAGCTACCCTCTTTGGTTGGCCCCACCAACCCCCTTCCCACCAGCCCCTCCCCGCCTCTGTGTGTCTCCCCAGCTATGCCCTGGGCGGCGGGTGCGAGCTTGCAATGATGTGTGACATCATCCTAGCTGGCGAGAAGGCCGTGTTCGGACAGCCGGAGGTGAAACTCGGGGTCATTCCCGGGATGGGCGGCACGCAGCGTCTCACTCGTGCAGTGGGCAAGTCACGAGCCATGGAGATGATTCTCACTGGGGAGTTCTTTATGGACGCAGAAGAAGCAGTGCAGGCTGGGCTTGCTAGTAGAGTGGTGAGTTTATAACGAGTATGTCTACGACTGAAGCAGTGGGCAAGGCACGCGCCATGGAGGTGATTCTCACGGGGAAGTTTTTCATGGATGCGAGTGAAGCGGCGCAGGCTGGGCTTGTTAGCAGAGTGGTGAGTGCTGCTTTGTGCACTGAGTGGTTGCATATTGTACTGAGAATGCTTATTGGAAGGTAGGCAAGGCACGTGCCATGGAGATGATTCTCACAGGGGAGTTCTTTATGGATGCACAAGAGGCTTTACGGGCTGGGCTGGCCAGCAGAGTGGTGAGTAGTGCACTGTATGCTGACACATTGTACCGAGTAGGCTTGTGATGCAACGGTGACTGCAGAAGAAGCTGCACGGGCTGGGCTGGTCAGCAGAGTGGTGAGTGCCGCTTGATTCTGGCTGCTGCTTTATACACGGAGTAGGGTTAAGTAAGCAGGATCTGGGGCCAGGCACGCAGAGATGATTCTCACGGGGGAGTTCTTCATAAATGCAGAAGACGCAGCACAGGCTGGGCTGGTCAGCCGAGTGGTGAGTGCTGCTTTGTACTAAGTACCGGCATGCTTATCCCTCGTTCCCCACTCATACCCCCCCTTCCATGCCCTTCACAATTTCCAGGTCCCAGGCCCACAGGAGGAGGTAGTGAAAGCAGCCATTGCAACAGCTGCCAAGATAGCAGCGCTGTCGCAACCAGCAGTGGCCATGGCAAAGCAGAGCGTGAATGCTGCCTTCAACGGGTCGCTGGCTCAAGGGTTGGCAGAGGAGCGAGCGCTCTTCCTCTCCTCGTTTGCTCTTGATGATCAGAAGGAAGGCATGCAGGCGTTCCTGGAAAAGCGGCCAGCACAGTTTAAGCATGAATGAGGGGACTGAGCTGTGCCGGTTGGCTGGTTGTATGTAGCCTCTGACTGAGTGTGCCTTTTGTTTCGCTTTAGTGCATGGGCTGATGGGATGGGAGAGAGTGCAGTTGCTGGTATAGGTTTTGGGAGATTAAATTATTGCAGGAAATTACACCATGTCCATGTACATATTGTACATTCTTGCACTGCTCTTGCTATATGTGCGGTTGGCTGTATAAATGACCAAGGACCGTAACACTCTTGGATAGATAGACTTGTATGTGTAGTGGATGTCTTGTAATAGAATTGTTGAATAATATAAATCATTGCAGGAGATTATACAGCCAGTTAAAAGTACTTATTCGCTAATGTACCTGCTCAATAATGTAAACGAATTCGCTCCCTTTCGCTACAGTAAAGCATTGTTCGCTGACGTCATCATTTCTCGTGAAGCGATAATCAATAAAAGTTGACTCGTCTGTAGCTAACGACTTGGCAATTTACCTCAACACTGTTTAGGTATTTTACTACATATTTCTAATATATACATTCATTGCAAAGTGGTTCACAAGTTGCTACGGACAATTTTCACAGGACCAGGGAACCATTCTCTAAGGGCGTGTTCCTACGCCTCTCATCAAGAGTACCTCATATCAGGCTCACACTGAAAATTCCCCTATACCCAAAATCCTTCTCTAGTTTTACCAGGCAAGTTTGATATGAGGTTGCCTGATATGAGGCGTAGGAACACGCCCTAAACCTTCCCTTGTTTCCTAACCAACTGCCGAATCCTCTCAACCCACTTTCTGACATCCTTCCCTCCCACCCTTCTTCCTTCCCCCCCTACTCTCCCTGCACCCTCCCCTCCTTCCTCGCTCACACGGACCCTCACATCCCCCAGCCACCGTTTCGACTGCTGCAGCCATGCATCCCTCTTAAAGGCAATCTCGTTAAGCGACATAGTGCTCATATCTTCAGAAAGTGGAGGCTTGCTGATTTTGCTATCTGGAGTGGGTGGAAGGGGAAAACCGTAGGTGGAACCAAGCTTGCTGTCTGTGCCCGCTGAACCATGATCCTTGACACTCTTGCTGCTGTTGCTGCTGCTACCCGTGCTGCCATTAAGGCTATTGATGTTGGTGCTGCCGTTGCTGCTGTTGCTGCTGCTGTTGAAGCAGTGAAATGCACTTCCCGTCAACCTTCTCTGGGTGGAAGAGGAGGGAACACAGTAACCGCGGCCACTGTAGTGCAAGTGGGAAGGGGTGGGGGGACGTGAAGGGAGTTAGGGAGGAATGGTTAAAAAGCACTTCCAACCTTCTTTGCGTGGAAGAGGGAACGCAGAAGCCACGGCCATTGTAGTGCAAGTGGGAGGGGGGGGGGGGGTGGGGAATTATGCAAAGGGACGACAATAGAGAGGTGAGGAGAAGATCGGAAAGTGAAGAGGAATCACCTCCGATCCCAAGGGGATTCATGTATAGATGAACATGTGCAACGTCCAGACATGCATGCATGGGTGCCCACCTGATTGCACGCATGTCTATCTGAATGCACGCATGTCTATCTGAATGCACGCTTGTCTATCTGAATGCACGTATGTCTATCTGAATGCACGCTTGTCTATCTGAATGCACGCTTGTCTATCTGAATGCACGCTTGTCTATCTGAATGCACGCTTGTCTATCTGAATGCACGCATGTCTATCTGAATGCACGCATGTCTATCTGAATGCACGCATGTCTATCTGAATGAACGCTTGTCTATCTGAATGCACGCTTGTCTATCTGAATGCACGCTTGTCTATCTGAATGCACGCATGTCTATCTGAATGCACGCATGTCTATCTGAATGAACGCTTGTCTATCTGAATGCACGCTTGTCTATCTGAATGCACGCATGTCTATCTGAATGCACGCATGTCTATCTGAATGCACGCATGTCTATCTGAATGCACGCTTGTCTATCTGAATGCACGCATGTCTATCTGAATGCACGCTTGTCTATCTGAATGCATGCTTGTCTATCTGAATGCACGCTTGTCTATCTGAATGCATGCTTGTCTATCTGAATGCACGCTTGTCTATCTGAATGCACGCTTGTCTATCTGAATGCATGCTTGTCTATCTGAATGCACGCTTGTCTATCTGAATGCACGCATGTCTATCTGAATGCACGCTTGTCTATCTGAATGCACGCATGTCTATCTGAATGCACGCATGTCTATCTGAATGCACGCTTGTCTATCTGAATGCACGCATGTCTATCTGAATGCACGCATGTCTATCTGAATGCATGCTTGTCTATCTGAATGCATGCTTGTCTATCTGAATGCATGCTTGTCTATCTGAATGCACGCATGTCTATCTGAATGCACGCTTGTCTATCTGAATGCACGCATGTCTATCTGAATGCACGCATGTCTATCTGAATGCACGCTTGTCTATCTGAATGCACGCATGTCTATCTGAATGCACGCATGTCTATCTGAATGCACGCTTGTCTATCTGAATGCACGCTTGTCTATCTGAATGCACGCTTGTCTATATGAATGCACGCTTGTCTATCTGAATGCATGCTTGTCTATCTGAATGCACGCTTGTCTATCTGAATGCACGCATGTCTATCTGAATGCACGCATGAATGTCGCGGCACGCTCACATCTGCACACGCATGAATCCCTGATTGCCTCTTCTCTCTCCTCTTGCTTCCCCTCTCCCTCTCCCTCTCCCTCTCCCTCTCCCTCTCCCCCACTTTCTCCCTCTCCCCCTCTTTCTCCCTCTCCCCTCTTTCTCCCTCTCCCACTCTTTCTCCCTCTCCCTCTACTGTTCTCGCAGGGTCTCACCTGCAGACACGTGTCACACTTTCATTGGCTCCACAGAACGCAGCACACTGCCTCTCTGAGCGCTGTTTTGCCAGCCAGCATGCCAAACCAACTCCCAGGTTCGGCCCAAAGCTGTCTCCCAGCTTCGCACCAAGGCTGGACCACAGGTTCGGAGGCACAGGGCAGGATGGCAGCTGTAGGCAATTCCCATGCAATCGGGCAGTTGCATTGTCAGGCAGCCAATCAGACGACTCGGGCAGGCTGCCCGAGAAAAAGTTGTTGGAAAAGTCGAGAGAGAGGAGGGAGGGAGGGAGGTGGGAGGGCAGGGGCCCTGAGAGGAAGTTGCGAGAGGTATTAAGGAGTGTGAGGCGGTGCAGAGAGGTGGAGAGGTCGGGGAGGGAAGCTACGAGGTGGTTTCGACTCAGGTCGAGTTCCTGCTTGGGAGAGACCGGGGGGAAAAGAGGTTCCTGGATTCACTAAGGTTTTACGGGATGGCTTTGGCTGTTGCAAAGTTGCTGACTGGAAAAGGAGAACCGGAGGGAATGGTTCTAGACGTCTATGAACTTGAGAAGAATGGGTGGAGACGTGTATAAACTTGAGAGAGTGGGCTCTCAGGAACATGTGTCGTACCTGAAGCCGTCAGGGCGGTGAAAGTGGCAGGTACAGTGCCGGAGAGGCGGTTACCAGCAAGTCGTAACACCATTTTTGAGTCGACTGGAAAGATGTGTCATACCTGGAGGCGAGGGTCAGGGCAGTGCATGGGATGGTGCCAGAGAGGCAGCCAGCTGTAACACCCTGAGCCCAGACCGATGGACCCGTACTTGTCAGGGTTAACCATCTTGAGTGCTTTGCGAGGCAGTGCCAGAGAGGCAGCCGGCTGTAACACCCTCTGGCTCAGGATGGGCTCAGGCTGTAACACCCTGAGCCCAGTAGCTATGCCCGGCACACAGGAACATGTGTCGTACCTGAAGCCGAGTCAGGGCGGTGAATGTGGCAGGGATGGTGCCGGAGAGGCGGTTACCAGCAAGCCGTAACAGCCTGAGCCCGGTAGCTATGCCCAGCTCGTTGGGGATGGCACCAGTAAATGCATTGTCGTTGAGGAGGAAGCGGGTGAGCTGTGAGAGAGAAGTGATAAAGAGGGGTGGTGAAGGTAATGGAATGGGTTGGGTGAGGTATGCAGCAGCTGTGACAATCTGAGTTGAATAGCAACGCCCAGCTCGTTGGGGATGGCACCAGTAAATGCATTGTCGTTGAGGAGGAAGCGGGTGAGCTGCGAAACGGGAGGGGGGTGGTGCATGGAAGGGAGTGGGCGACGCAGTGAGGAGCCGTGACACCCTGATGCTGGTGGTGTATGTTTTTTGAGAATTCTAAAAAAACAGGCAGTGAGGAGCCCTAACACCCTGATGCTGGTGGTGGTGGCGATACGACTTTTGAGACGTCTCAAAAGTCTGCTGGTGGCTGTACCCAGCCAACTGGGGAAGGCACCGGTGAATGCATTGCTGTCGAAGGCGCCTCAAAAAAAGGTCTGGTACGGCGTACCACGATTGACCTTGGCACGTATGTACCTGATTGAGGATTGATGGACCTGGTACCACAGGCCTGGGGGACTAGCTAGCAGGCTGAAAACAACAACCCACCTGGTACAGAGTGCCGAAGGAAGGAGGGATGTGGTGACATGTGCACCTGATGACACGAGTTTATACGGTACCACCTGGTTGGTTAAAAGGACCTACCTGGTACAGAGTGCCGAAGGAGGGCGGGATGCGGGTCGACTCGAAAGTCGCGCTCAAGTGCATTTGAATCGACTCGAACATTACTCAAGTGCATGTTACTTACAGGTGGTTATGGAGGGAGTGGTGGCACCTACCTGGTACAGAGTGCCGAAGGAAGGAGAGATGCGGCCCGACAAATGGTTGTGCGACACGTCAACCACGTACGCCTGCACCAGCCTGCCCAGGCTGCCCGGCAGGCTGCCCGAAAAGGAATTGTTGGCGAGGATGAGCCCTGAGTCGAGGATGGAGAAGATGGGCGACGCCAGGGGGATGGCTAGCTGCGGGCTGATGGGGCCCGAGAAGTTGTTGCTGTGAGCTGTGTGGTGTGACGGGGAGGATGGAGTGGGGAGAAGGGAACGAGGGGAGTGGGGAGGGGGAAAAGAAGAATGGGAGGGGCGAGGATGAATCTGGAGTCGAGAATGGAGAAAACAGGGGGCGGCAGGGAGGGACAGCTGTGGGCTGACGGGGCCAGAAAAGTTGAGGCGTTTAGAAAAGGACAGGGTTCGGGATGGGAGAAGCTTGGGTTCGGAGGAGTTAGGATGGACAGGGGGAGTTTGGAATAGAGGGAGTTTTTAACAGAAAGACTCTGGGACAGCATGAGTTTGGTTCGTTTTCAATCGAGTTCAGATGGAGGGTTCGGCAAACAGATATTCAGAGGGGGAGATGGCATGGTTGTGTGCATTGATTTTTTAGAGTTCTAAAAATCCCTGCAATGAGAATTCTCGGAAAATCACTCCAATGAGAATTAAAAAAAAAATCCTCCAAGAGGGCCAATCAGAGGCGGGTGCTCACCTGAGAAGAATCCCAGCCGTCCAGAGGGAAGGAACTTGGGATCCAAGGGGCCATCCAAGCCGTTGAAATCAAGTAGAAGATCGGTAACACCCACGAGAGCGGAGAAATCTGGGAGGGGTCCCCGGAGGTTGGTGGCGGAGAGATCGAGGACGAGAACGAGGGAGGTGAGGCCAGGGATGGAGGGGGGCAGCGGCGCTGGTGTGAAGGGGTTGAAGGCGAGCTGGAGCGTTGCTAGCTGGTGGATGGAGACACAGGGGAAAGGGAGAGTGTGTGGGCAGGGGGCAGGAGAAGCAAAGGAAAAGGGAGGTGAGGAGAGGTGAGGTGAGGTGAGGTGAGGTGAGGTGAGGTGAGGTGAGGTGAGGTGAGGTGAGGTGAGGTGAGGTGAGGTGAGGTGAGGTGAGGGTTGCTTGGTGCTGGTGGTCGGTGAAGAAGACCCCTGAGAGATTCGGGAATCACTTTTGAGAATTCTCCAAAGAAATTGGTGGCGGACAGATCTAGCAGGAGCATGGGGGAGGTGAGGTGAGGGATGGTGGGGAGCAGGAGCACTGGCGTGAAGGGGTTGAAAGAGCAGCTGGAGTGTTGCTAGCTGCAGGGGAAAACAGGGGACAGGGAGAAGCAGCCAGCTGGAGCGTTTATAGCTGACCTTTGGACATTTTCCAGTGAGCAGCGATTGCGTAGGAGTAGGTTTCAGCAAGTAGGAAAAGACAGTGAGTAAGAACTAAACACTAGCTAATCACCGAGAGTTTGTGAAGCTGGAGCTCTTCTCGTTAACAACAACTAAAACAGGGAGAAGCAGCCAGCTGGAGCATTTTAGCTGCGGACACCAGAGGGGAAGGGGAAGAAGTGGGGAAGAGAGCGAGTGTGGACAGGAACAGGGGGAGGGATGAACAGGGGAAAGAAAGGAGCGTGGAATACGCCGACAAGAGTGGAGAGGTCGGGGAGGGGGGCTCGCAGGTTGGTGGTGGAGAGATGGAGCAGGAGAATGAGGGAGGTGGGGGAGGGATGGAGGGGGGTAGAGGCGCTGGTGTGAAGGGGTTGAAGAGAGGGAGTATGGGCGGGGAGAGGAAGATCAGGGGGGGTGCGATGTGGGAAGGAGATGTGGGGAAGGAGATGTGGGGAAGGAGATGTGGGGAAGGAGATGTGGGGAAGGAGATGTGGGGAAGGAGATGTGGGGTGGCAAGGGATGATCCAGCATCAGTGGCATGGCAGGTAGCACTCTCACCTGCTTCAGCTGGTCGAGAGGCGGAATGGCGCCTGAGAGCTGGTTGCTCTGCAGGCCTAGGGGCGCATAAGGGCTGATTGCTCTGAATGGCTGGGGGTGAGCGGGCATGGCAGGTAGCACCCTCACCTGCTTCAGCTGGTCGAGGGGTGGAATGGCACCTGAGAGCTGGTTGCTTTTTGAAGGGCTAGAGGCGAGATGTGGGTGGGGCAAGGGTAGTGCATGCATCGCATGGCAGGTAGCGGTCTCACCTGCTTCAGCTGGTCGAGGGGTGGAATGGTCCCTGAGAGCTGGTTGCTCTGCAGGCCGAGGTGCAGCAGACGAGTGAGACGAGATGTGAGGGCAGCAGGGATGGGGCCTGGGGAGTCAACGAGAGAGAGGGGAGGAGCAGAGGGGAAAGTGGGAAGTGCATAACACGGGGGAAGATGGTGTCAGGGGGTTGTGGGGACAGGACGAGGGTTTGAGATTGTCCCGTCCCATGAGAGTTAACTGCCCCAGCAGACAGTACGGCAGTGAGGTGAGACGTGATGGCGGCAGGTATGGGCCATGAGGAGCAGAGGAGAAAGGTGATTTGAGACGTCTCAACTCACGTGTTTTGAGTCGACCCAAAACTGAGACGTGATGGCGGCAGGTATGGGCCATGAGGAGCAGAGGAGAAAGGTGAAAATGGCACGCACAGAGCGATGGCGGCAAGGGATGGACAGGAAGAAAATTGGGCTGGGCACGATCCCATTCACTCAGGGTAACTTTAATTGCTCATCTCATGGGTAATTTTTATCGCTCCTGCTGCTGCACTTCCCCCTACCCCCCCCCCCCCCCCGCCTCCCCCCCTCGCCTCCCCCCCTCCAAAGAAAGCATAAAGAAAGACAAGAATAAAAAGCATTACCAGACAAGGAGTTGAAGGAGAGATCGAGGGCGCGCAGGGTGGTCACATTCGCCAGCCCTGCTGGTATCCCTCCTGCGAGGCCACACCACCTAAGCGCACGTGGACTAGGGGAAGTAAGCCCTCCTCTCAGTGTTGGAAAAGAGGCAGAAGCAGCGGCAGGAGCAGAGGCCAAGAGAGCGAGAGAGGCAGGAGCAGAGGAAGGGGGTGAGACAGTGGCAGGGGCGGGGATGGGGGCGGGGCGGTTGCGGTCGAGGAAGAGGAACTGGAGAGGCAGGCAGGAGAGGTCTGGGAGCGAGCCGTAGAGAAGGTTCTTGGAAACGTCCAGGTAGGTGAGGTGAAGGAGGCGGGAAAAGGACTTGGGCAGGCGACAGTGGAAGGCGTTGCTCTGATAGGAGACGTGAGAGGGGCGTGGGGAGCAGGGGAGCAGGGGAGAGGGAAGAGGGGAGAGGGGAGAGGGGAGAGGGGAGAGGGGAGAGGGGAGAGGGGAGAGGGGAGAGGGGAGAGGGGAGAGGGGAGAGGGGAGAGGGGAGAGGGGAGAGGGGAGAGGGGAGGGGGAGGGGAATGGGGAGCAGGGGGGACGGGAGACGGGAGACGGGAGTGGAGATGAATTAAAAGAAAAGCGAACAGATTCGTTATAGGTGAACGCAGTGTAATACACATAGGAAAACGTCATTTTGTTAGAAGCAAACTCAATTGAAACTCACAAACTGATTGAAAGATGTGCAGTACGCTGCATGCACAGTGCTCCTAACTTCACTCAACTACATACCTCCAGGTCAATGAATTCAAGTCGAGTCAACCGGGCGAGGGCTCTCAGAGAGGAGCCGTGCAGCCCCTGGGAGTAGAGACCAATGCTGGTGGGGCACAGATAGACAGAAATGAGAAACAGGGTGGGCACACACGCATAGAGAGAGCGTGGAAACGAATACACAATACAAGGCGAGTCTCGTTATTGGCAGGTAACGAAGGAACAAGACCTGCTAGGGAAGAAGTGCTTAGTTAGAAAGAACGAGCGGCGTGAGGAGGACGGGGGGAAGTGGTAAACCTAAGAAAGCCAGGAAACAGAGAGGGAGAAGGGGAGGGAGAAGGAGAGAGCGAAGGGAGGGAATCAGGTGGGGTGTGGGTGGAAAGGGGGAGGGATGTAGAGAGAAAGAGAGGACTAACCCTGTGACACGTGGAGGCTGGTCATTGGAGCACTGCACTCCTGGAAACGCGTCCTGGCAGGGGTCTGATTGAGCTGAGGGGAACCATCCTGGCACTCCAGGAACCTTATTTCCTTCCCTGCCAGCTATCTCGCTGCTGTTTCTGCTATTGTTGCTGTTGCTGCTGCTGCTGCGGTTTCCGCTGTTGTTGTTGCTGCTGCTGCTGTTGCTGCTGCTGTTGCTGTTGCTGTTCTTGTCACTGGAGCCGCTGGGATGGCTGTTTCCGCTGTTGTTGCTAGCGATGGTGAAGACAGATGAGTGGAAGCGGTGAAGTGCCGCCACGTCAGACGGGTCTGTGGCTGCTGCTGGTTGGTAGATAGGGATGACGTGGCAGAGTTGCAACAGATTAGAGGAAGGACTAACAACGGTAGAAAGAGAAGGCGAAAATTATCAAGACTATTTCAAGTTTAACTGAGGAAAGGAAACAAGACAGCCATGACAAAAAAGCCAGGAATGGCATCGTTCTATTCAGACGGAGACGCATGTGACATTCCGAACACCTGAAGGAAGGAACCGTTTACCTTGGCAAGAGGCTGTGAGCATGGCGATCATAATCCCCATCATAACTGCTCGAGAGGCCCAATGAGCTTCAAGCTCGTGCTGCTTCCAGCGGAAGCCTTGTTGAAGCGACCCTGAGTGTGAGCCTGTTCCTGATCCTGCTTCTGATCCTGCTTCTGATCCTGCTTCTGATCCTGCTTCTCCTGCTTCTGATCCTGCTTCTCCTGCTTCTGATCCTGCTTCTAATCCTGCTTCTGATCCTGCTTCTGATCCGGGGATGGAATCATTGAGCTTCGAGGCCCAGGAGTGTTCAAAACCAAGAGTTTTTGCACCGATCAGACTCTGGCTGCGTATATGACGTGCTCCAACGGAATCCGTCAAGGGATTCGACCAGGTAACAGCAGAAATCCTTCTCGAACGCCTTTCCGGATGATCATTCTCACGAGCAGTCGACGGCATGCGAGACAGCATAACGTCAGAATTTTTCATTGTGGAAACTCGTTCTTCGCACCCTAACGCGCAGGACCAGAGGACGCGGTTATTCGAAGCGGCTACGAGAGGAGTTCTGAACGGGAGAAGCACTCAAGTGGTCGCTCACCCTAATGACCTCTCACTAAAAGCTTCTGAATTGATCGCTCCTGAACGCCGCGGAGAAATGAAGGGTCTTGAACGGTCCTCAACGGTTCTGAAGGTTCCTTAAAGATCCAGGCCTCTGAACACCTAGAGTTTTCACTATTTCTTGCAATCACAGCCACTGTAGCCAACACAGGCTTCCGTCAGCCAGGCTATTATTGGTTCTACGTCTTTTTAACGGAGACAGCGGCGTGTGCCAAGCCGTACGAAAGTATTTAACTTCCTGTGGTGAATCCGCCAAGCCCAGGATCGGACGGTTGCCAGGAATCCTATGCATATGCGGCACCGACATCTTTCCTTGAAGAATGCAGAACGCGAATGCGGATGATGGTGGCGCAACGACCGCCATGGCCGACACACGCGCTTCTCGTAATGAGCGGCTGAAGCCACTAAAGAGCGAGGAACGGGGACTTCGCCTGCCAGCGTAGCAAATGCGCGAGTCTGACAGGCGAGAAACGGGAACTCCGCCTGCCGAGATTACTGCTCTGCCTCTTTGGGACATTGCGGCGGGACTCGCGTGCAGGCGACCAACAAATTTCAGCTGAGAAGATGGAACATCCGCGTTGAAGTTGCACCCGTCTAGCTGTTCAGTTTACAATTTCTGATGCAGTAAAAACCTTACAACAGTATGTTGCTCCAGGGACTATTTAGCTCCTGAGGATATTAGCTGGATTGTTGAAGTTAACTCCTTGGTGTAGAGTTATCAGAAATTACTTCCACAATACAAATCAGCTGTATATTTAATAAACTAATGACACATTGCCTTCCCACTTTGTAGGCATGCTAGCTAGCCCAGGGATGGGTATTTATCATTTTCAATAATCAGTCAATTGAAAGGGCAAACATCCATTCCCTTGGCGGTGAGCGGCCTAGCTAGGCACCTTTCTGTCCATGCATGCACCCTTGGAAACTCCTCCAGTTTTAGCTGCTCCTCACCGTTGTAATATCTCTGTACCAAGTGGGCGGGGAGGGGGAGAGGGTAGGAGGAGAGAAGGGGGGGGGGGGGGGGGGGGGGGGGGGGGGGGGGGGGGGGGGAAGAGCAGGTGGTTTAAACAAATGAGGTAAGTGTCAAAAGTGTGGGGGAAAACGGTATAGTGGGCCAAGGGGACGGCCAACTTGCGAGATGGGGGAAAGGGGCAAGGCAGGGGATATGGGTGGAGGGGTTGTGAATCCAAGATTATGACCGCTGGAATTAGCATCAAGGTCGCAGAAAGC